CAGCAGGTCAAGGCTGCAGTGGCCGGGAGTGGCCACTGCATTCCAGTCTGGGCAACAGAGTGAGACCCCAACTCAAAAAAAAAAAATTACTCATAATTCTACCACCCAGAAATAACCACATAGGATATTTATTGTTCTGGATTTCAGTCTATTACACATATATTTAGTAAATAGGATCATTTACACAAACTGTATACAGTTTGATGTGAATTTATACTTCACAGTGTCACATAAATGTGACCATCTCCCATATCAACAAGTACACGTTTACAACAAAAACTTTTTTCATGTCAGATGGGTAATGTGCTGACATTGTAACAAGGTTTGAGAGAGGCACATTTCACACATGAATATCAAGGCCCCATCATCACTTTTGTGAACTACAAAAAGACCCAACGGCGAACATTTTAAAATAACGTTTATTTTCTGATGACAAAAGTTCGATACTTAATGCTTGAAAAAACAAAAAATGGCCAGGCATGGTAGCTCACACCTATAATCCCAGCACTTTGGGAGGCCCAAGTGAGAGGATTGCCTGAGCGCATGTGTTTGAGACCAGTCTGGGCAACTTGGCGAACCCTCATCTCTACAGTAAATCAAAAAAATCAGCCAGGCATGGTGGCACATGCCTGTAGTTCCAGCTACTTGGAAGGCTGAGGCGGAAAGATTGCCTGAGCCCAGCAGGTTGAGGTTGTGGTGGCTATGAGCGTGCCACTGCACTCCAGCCTGGGAGACAGAGTGAGACTCCAACTCAAAAAACAAAAGAAAACAAAAACAAAATAATTCAACTGGGCATGGTGGTTCACTGCTGTAATCCTAGCACTTTGGGAGCCAAGGCAGGAGGATCATTTAAGCCAAGGAGTTTGAGACCAGCCTGGGCAACATTGCAAGACTCTATGATCTATTTTTTTTTTAAATTCAAGTAATACAAGAAGGTATTGACTAGAAAGTGAAAGTCTCTCACAGTCTCATCTCTCCTGCCCCAGATAAAGCTGGTTTTAAGGGTTTTAATAATTGTTAACACCAGTATAGTGTTCAGTGTCCTCATCCAGGGAGAGGCCACTAGGTCTCAGACTCTGCTGGAGTTTACAGGCAGTGGCCAAGCCCTGTCCTCAAAGGGCTACATGTCAGGACTGTGCTCAAGGTATGAGCTGCAGTTTTGAATCTGCCCTCATGTTTGAACATTTGAATCTGCCCTCATGTTTGAACATTTGTCTTTTTGTCTTTTGCTCTCTCAAATAATGCTTTGCTGACTATACTCAATTGATTATCCTAATAATACATTTCTAGACAGAGAATTGCAGGGGCACTGTGCGTGTATTCTTAAAGCATTACCAAATTGTATGACCATGTTCTCCAGGAAGGCCATGGTGGGGACACCGCCTCTGTAGGGAAAAGAATAATACCTCCTTCTCCACTGCCTTGCCAACACCAGACTTTAAAGTGATTGTTCTTTCTATGTGAGATTGACTTTGCCTGATTATAATCAGCCAAAAAGGATGTCTTTTTTGTTTTGTTTTGTTTTTTAGTGAAAAGAAAGAGACAAGTTGGAGACTCCTGAATGGATTAATAAAACTTATCAAATAAATGAAAATTGGCTGGGTGTAGTGGCTCACGCCTGTAATCCCAGCACTTTGGGAGTCAGAGGCAAGAGGATTGCCTGAGCCCAGGGATTCAAGACCACCCTAGGCAACTTGGCAAGACCTTGTCTCTATAATAAATCAGAAAATTAGCCGGGCATGGTGGCACACACCTGTGGTTCCAGCTCCTTGGAAGGCTGAGGCAGAAGGATCACCTGAACCCAGCAGGTAGAGTCTGCAGTGGTAATGAGTGTGCCACTGCACTCCAGCCTGGGCAACAGTGAGACTCTGACTCAAAAATAAATAAATAAATAAATGGAAATTAAAACAACAAGATATCACATTTCATCTCAAGAAACTGGTGATACATAGCATTGACACCCTTTCTACTGGTGAGGGATAAATGGGGCAACCTTTTGGGAGGAGTCAGGGTCTCAATCCGTCACCCAGGTTGGAGAACAGTGGCACAATCATGGCTTGCTGCAACCTTGACCTCCTGGGCTCAATCTTTCTCTCTCAGCCTCCTGAGTAGCTGGGACTACAGGTATGTGCCACCACATCTGGCTAATTTTTAAATTTTTTGTAGAGAAATGAAATCTCCCATTGTTATCCAGTCTGGTCTCCAACTCCTGGGCTCAAGCAATCCCCTAGCCTCAGCCTTCCAAAGTGCTGGTATTCCAGGCGTGAGCCACCACACCCAACTTTGTTTAATTTTTGAACTAGCCATTGTGCAGCTAGAAATGTTCTTACAGGAAAAAGATGTGCATACATCCATCCTTGATTGAGTAAGTAGAAATCAGAGGAAAGCAAAATGGTTTAGGAACAGGGACTTGGAAAAGTAATATATGGTCCATCTACACATTGTAGAGTTCTTGTAGATCCCTGCACCCTGATGGGGAAAGTTGCTTGCTGCCTGTTGTTCAGCGAGGATATGTTTGGGACCAGTATGGATACTATCTTTTTTGTACTTTCTCATGTATAGCAAATATATGTTAATATTTGCATGATGGAAACATCTAGAAAGATGTGCACCAAACTTTTAACAGTGATTACTTTCAGGTAAAGAAATAAAGAACTTTAACTTTCTGCTCAGATAATTATTATTTGAATTTTTCACAGTAAGTATTGCTTTTTTAATTTAAAACCAACTTTTTCTCTAATTAAATTTTTGAAATTAAACTGGGATAAAAGGACAAAAAGTTCATCAAGGGTGATGACATCCTCAAAATTACACAATTAATAAAGTATGGTGCACTTTTCATATCTAACAAGAAAGGGAGGGAGGAAATTAAATTACAAGGAAAATGCTCTGAAAATGTTGTACAAAAATAAACCTGTAGGCCGGTTATGGTGGCTCATGCCTGTAATCCAGCACTTTGGGAGGCCAAAGCAGGAGACTCACTTGAGCCAAGGAGTTCGAGACCAGTCTGGGCAACTTGGCGAGACCTGTTTCTACAATAAATCAAAAAATTAGCTGGTCATGGTGGCGCATGCCTGAAGTCACAGCTACTTGGGAGACGGGACTCAGGAGATTAAGACCGGGGTGAGCCATGGTCGTGCCACTGCACTTGGCCTGGGTGACACAGTGAGACTGTGACTCAAATATAAATAAAATTTTTAAAAGAATGGAACCTGCAGACAGTACTGAGAGAATCGAGAATGTGGAGCCCCCGGAGCAGTCATTACACAGTGGGGGGAGTGTCAACCGGGGTACCTAGCAAAGTTGAAGACATGCACACCTTGTGACCCAGAAGCCCCAGAAGACATGTGTGCTCTAGAAAAGCCCATACCCATGGTTGCCAGGCATAATAACATAGTTCTCAGCAGCCAACCTCTGAGGTCACCAAGCCCCCATCAGCAGTAGAATGGATGAATAAATTGAGGAATCATCATGATGGAATACTATGCTACAATGAAAACGAATACATTTCTGCTGCATAGAACAACCACTGATCTTGCAAATCTGTTCACTCATCCTGATAGAAGAGCAGGGAGAGCCAGGCGCGGTGGTTCACGCCTGTTATCCCAGCACTTTGGGAGGCAAGGGGATTGCCTGAGCCCAAGGGTTTGAGACCAGCCTGTGCAACTTGGTGAGACCTCGTCTCTACAATAAATCAAAAAATTAGCCAGATGTGGTGGTGTGTGCCTTTGCTTCCAGCTACTTGGGAGGCTGTGGCGGAAGGATCGCCTGAGTCCAGCTGGTCGAGGTGGCCATGAGTGTGCCACTGCACTCCCTGGGTGACAGAGTAAGACTCCAACTCAAAAAAAAAAAAAAAACCAGACAGAATGGTTCTCTCTGGTGGGGGGAGAGGCTTATGATTAGAAAGGGACATAGGGAGCCGGGCTTGGTGGCTCAACCTATAATCCCGCACCTTTGGGAGGCTGAAGTGAGTGGATTGCCTGAGCCTGCAGGTTCAAGACCCACCTGGGCAACTTGGCGAGACCTCATCTCTACTATAAATCAAAAAATTAGCTGGGCATGGTAGCGCGCGCCTGTAGTTCCAGCTACTTGGAAGGCTGAGGCGGAAGGATCGCCGGAGGCCAGCAGGTCGAGGCTGCGGTGGCCGGGAGCAGCCACTGCACTCCAGTCTGGGTGACAGAGTGAGACTCCAACTCAAAAAACAACAACAAAAAAAGGGACATAGGGGACTTCTGGGTGCAGACAACATTCTATTTTCTACCCAGGTGGTGGTGACATGGGTGTTCACTTTATAATTATTTGTAAAAGTGTACATTTGTGTTCATGAATCCTTTCTTATGACTACTTCACGTTTAAAAAACGTTTTCTAAAAAGCCTTATAGCCTCCTCTCCCAGAACGCCTTCCTGGACCGCCACAGCTCTGTGTGATCCCAGGCCTCCAGAGAGCCCTGGAGCCCTACTCCCGCGCCCGACCCTGAACGCGCCCGCGTGTCTCCTGTCCTGGCCCAGGTGCAGCGGAACTGCTGCCTGACGCTGTGCAACTTCAGCATCCCCGAGGAGCTGGAATTCCAGTACCGCCGAGTCAACGAGCTGCTGCTGAGCATCCTCAACCCCACGCGGCAGGACGAGTCCATCCAGCGCATCGCTGTGCACCTGTGCAACGCCCTGGTGTGCCAGGTGGACAACGACCACAAGGAGGCCGTGGGCAAGATGGGCTTCGTCGTGGTACGTGCGGGCGGCTGCCATGGCTCTCCCACCAACTCCGTAGTGCCGCCGTTTGAGTGAATCTTGAAGGAGGGCCTGGGGTGGGGAGGAGAGAATGCTGAGGCACGAAGGACTTAGGCTAGATGACAGGAAGAATTTCTCTTTTCTTTTTTTTTGAGTTGGAGTCTCACTCTGTCGCCCAGGCTAGAGTGCAGTGGTACGCTCACGGCCACCCCAGTGTCAACCTGCTGTGCTCTGGCGATTCTTCCACCTCAGCCTTCTGAGTAGCTGGAACTACAGGCACACACTACCACACCCGGCTTATTTTTTTTTTTTTATTGTAGAGACGAGGTCTCACCATGTTGCCCAGACTGGTCTTGAATCCCTGGGCTCAGGCAAGCCTCTCACCTCTACCTCCCAAAGTGCTGGGAATACAAGTGGAGCCACAGTGCCCAGTCCAAATTTCTTTCTTTCTTTTTTTTCTAAGTATTAATCTGTCACCCAAGCTGTAGCGCAACAGCACAATTATGCTTCACTGCAGCCTCGAACTCCTGGACGTAAGCAATCCTCCTGCTCAGACTCCCAAATAGCTGGGACTGCAGGCGTGTGCCATCACGCCTGGCTAATTTTTTATTTTTTTTAGAGATGAGGTCTTGCTGTGTTGTCCAGGCTGATCTTGAACTCCTGGCCTCAAACATTCCTCCCACCTCAGTCTCCAAAGTGCTAGGATTACAGATGTGAGCCACCACACCCAGCCAGGAAGAATTTCTTTTCTTTTTTTTTTTTTGAGTTGGAGTCTCACTCTGTCTCCCAGATTGGAGTGCAGTGACCGCTCCCGGCCACCGCAGCCTCGACCTGCTGGCCTCCGGCGATCCT